CATTAAACACTTTCTCCGATGCGATTGTTGTGCCAATAAAATTATGTAAATTATTATTTGTATATAATTTTTTGACAAAACTGTTCTATTTCAATTTGTATTTATTTCTTAGTAAGTTTTGCTTTACCTCTACTCATAGACAGCTTTTTGCTTTACTTTATTCTCCACTATGTTCTAGTTCTTTTTTCTGCAATTTTTCATATCCAGTTCGTTGTCTTTTCCGATGTTAATTCTGCATTTGATTCCTTCATGCTTTCTTCTCAGTTTCTTGAAACTGGCGACTTTTTTAGCCTTTTAGGTCGTCGCGAAAACATATTTTCCCCGTTAAAATCTCACCAGTTTGTGCTTTCTCTTGCAGAAATATTTCTCGTTATTTTCAAAAAACGGCTGAAATCCTAACGCTTATTTTCACCTTGATAGTTAAATTGTGAATGAGGCAAATGTGTTTTGGAAAAACCTTGTTAGTTTTCATGAAAGGAGGAATTTTCTCTCTGAATATCTTGCATTGTTTTACTTGATTATTAGAAGTATAGTTGATAGTAAAAAACCCTTCATAAGCTCACTTTTATCGGTGTGATTGTTGTTATCCTGGATTCCAGGCGTGCCCTGTGCATCCCCTTGGGGTTCGCCTTTGATGTGGGGTTCGCATGAGGGCAGGTTGGGTGAAAGGTCTCTAGACGGATCGTAAGCTGGGCCAAGGTACTGCTCGTTTTGCCGCTGAAACAATAAAAAAATATATTTTAACACAAAAATATTAGTGCCACTTGCATGAAATCTATACGCGTTGTTTGGTAAGTAAAAGGTTACTCATTAAGCGATTTAACATTCCAGCGACAACCGGTGAAGATTCTGATGACTTATTACCACTGGAATTATGTTAAATAATTCATAGGAAATACCTGGGCAAGTTATTTATGTGAAAACGCTAAAATATCGACTAGTTTTTCAGGCGACTAGTACGGAAAATGGATACGCTTGCCGGATGTTTTTTCCACTTTATTCGTGTATATTGAAAGTTTCCTAAGAAGCGCTTGCGTTTTTTTGGTAGAAAATCGAGTAAGCGCCTTAGGCAGGCGATGCGGATGCAGAAAAACACTATTCAGCGCTTCAGTTTCCATTTAATATTAATAGGTTTTATTTAAGGAAAAAATTCACTGAAGAAGAAAAGCACATGCAGTTGAGGCAAGAATTATTCAGGTGTTTTAAAATGTGGGTCGGCTTTAGAGGCTCCCTTTACCCATTGATCAATTTTCCGACAGAAACAAGAGCTTAGCGTCAAAACGTCGGTGAACCGGCAGCTGAAAATAATAAATTTCGACATTATTTTCGCAAACTAATTTACCATTATGCGGCAATTCAGCAAATACTGACAGCTTAATATAGCGCAACACCGAAGGTAGAATAACAATGCTGTTAAGTGCCGCACGGCCTTTTACTTTTTCTGCTGGGCTTAATCGAGGACAATTGCGAAAGAGCAATCTTCGGCGAGATTGGAAAAAATCTAAGTAATTTCGTCTTGTTTGCATTTTTTCAGCGGCACTTTGAACAACAATTATATCGGGCGATCGCAAATTGTTGTCATTCCTAAGCTGACTTATTAAGACTCATTAGATGCTTTAAGTCTTGGAAAGAACACTGCCAAAACCTGCACTTTTCGCCCCTTTTACTGTTACATAAAACTGGTTCAATTAGGTTCATTGATTGAATAGTTTCCAAATATTCTCTAACCACCTGGATGGATCCAAAGCGGACACAGACATTCAGCTGTCGGCAGCGAACTGAAGGTGTAGCCGACAATTGTCCGTGGTCGTATATTAAGAATTTACGCGGAAATTATCATGACTGGACAACATAAGTTTAAAATCGCAAAATACTACGTTACACTTTCATGTTGCGTGCAAAACGCACCTAAACTCGTCCGGCGCTCACCAACGGCGTCTTGCCGGTTTGAACAACCAAGGGGAAGAAATAATTCAGAAGCTCGGTTGAAAGGACTTCCTTTCGATACTGAAGCGTCGAGCACAAAAATGTTGTTTACGAGCTGAAATAATGAGCTCGCTGGCTAATGCTGAAAACTGGAATATTCCCTCGTATTAATAACAGACAGCTGGGCTGGCCTCATTGCCTATCGTCGGCTAATTATGCTGGGGATGAAAGCAAATGGACTAAAAACCCAAGAAAAATTCCAACTAATCAATAAACTCAATTTCATCCAGCCGCATCTTACTGGTCAACAATCGGCTTCGACCTACTAAATACGTTTGCCGTGAATGAGATAAAAGATTAATTATGACCGGACGAAATGTAACAAGTTTCTCTTGTTCGATGTCAAGCGCCGTGATTGATCTATTCACTAACGCAATAATTTACAGTTTTTGGACGGTTTTACTTTCGTGCAAGTCTGTTAAAAAGCCGAAAAAAAATTGTGTCGTCAAACGATGTCTCGTAAATCGTGACGATACCGGACAGATTTTATTTGGGTGGATGAAGATAACCGTAGCTTTGAGGTAGAACAAAGATTGGCTGGTTTAATAAGAATCTTCAAGAAAACGACAACGTTTCCTACGAATTATCAGCGTCAATGAATGGAGATTCAATTTGGAATCTTATTGCTTCAGCGATCAGAAATATGGCGGGTTCACCAGAAGACAGAGTGAGTCGGTTGAAGATCATTAGTTACAAAAAATCGATTAAAATGGACCAAAACTATCGATTTCTTCGGAAGAAACTCTCAGAAGAAAAGAACTGAAATTTTGAACCAAAAATTTTGAAACACTTAGCTTTTTTGAATAAAGTCGACTTTTATGAATTTTGCGGTCCAAAATCAAAATTTTACATGCGTGTTTCTTCAGGTCAATGGATTGGTTCCGACTTAAGAATCCTTCCAATATGCAAATATAAAGTTTTAAGTCTATAATAACGCGGATATCGTTGGCTAAAGATACCGATTGATCAACAACCGCTTAAAATAGGCAAAAAATGTCGATTATTTTGGATTTGAGGTTTCCGGTGTGTTCATTGCGGTTCTTGCTTGATTTTGCGGAAAATGTTGCAGAATGCGAAGCATTTTGAGGAATTTGAATTTTTTCGGGAAAACCGAGATGCATCCGTTTTTTCGAAAATTTCGAAAAAATTCGAAAAATTCCAAATTTTTGATAAAAAATCAAAATTTCACGTGGGTATTTCTTCAGGTCAATGATTGTTTCCGACCTGAGAACCTTTCTAATGCGCAAATATCGGGTTTTTCGTCCATAATAACGTAGGTATTATTGGTTAAAGCGCGTGATTGATCAAAAACCGCTTAAAATAGGCCAAAAATTTCGTTTGCTTCGGATCTGAATGGTATGTTTTTCACTTACATTTTTCGAAGTTTTAAAATAGACCAAAAGTTTCGATTATTTGTGATCTGAAGCTTCGAGGGCGTTTTAATCAGYTCGTTRCGTTCCTTGCTTGTTTTCGTTGAAAATGATCCAGAAACCGAAGCATTTTGACGATTTGAGTTTATTTAAATTCCACTTTCAAGACTTAAAAACTTTAGGTTAAAACTAAAATTTTCATATGCGAGTTTTTTTGGTTCAATGGATTGTTYAACCGGCCTAAGAAGCTTTCAAATGTGCAAATTTAATGTTTCGAGTGTTTAATAACGCAAATATCGTTGGTTAAAGATCGTGCCTGATCAAGAACGGCTTAAAACAAATAACGGCTGTCTTTCAATAAGTTAGTTGCATCCCTTGCTTGATGTGGTGGAAAATGATGCACAATTTGAAGCATTTTGGGACATTTGAATTTGTTTTGAAAAAATATACCTCTAGCCCTTAAAAAAATATGGGTAAAAAATCAAAATTTTGCCTGCGGATTTTGTCAGCTCAATAGATTGTCTCCGACCTCAAAAGCTTTCCAATGTGGAAATATAACGTTTTGAGTCTACAATAACGCAAATAACGTTGGTTAAAGATCGTGAATGATCAAGAACCGCTTAAAATAGACAAAAACTTCGATTATTTCGGATCCAAAGTTTCTGGTGTGTTTTTAAATAAGTTCATTGCCTTCCTTGGGCGGCTTTATGGGACGGAAAATGATGCACAATTTGGACCATTTTGAAAGATTTGAATTTTGTTGACAAATTCGACCTCTAAGACTCAAAAAAATTAAGTAAAAAATAAAAATTTTACATGCGATTTTTTTGCAGCTGAATCGATTGTTTTCCACCTAAGGAAAGGTGCAAATATAAAGTTTCGAGTTAAGTAGATTTTAACTAAATTAAAAAATACGCCAAAAATGTAGATAATTTCCGATCTGAAGCTTCTGGTGTGCCTTTCAATAAGTTCATTGCCCCCCTTGCGTGATTTTGTGGAAAATGTTACAGAAATGGAAGCATTTTGAGACATTTAAATTTTTCTGGAAGAATAGACCTCTAACCCTTAAAAAAATATTTCGGATCGGAAGCTTCAAGCGTGTTTTTCAAATTGGTTCGTTGCGTTTCTTGCTTGACTTTGTTGAAAATGATGTATAAGTACTTCAAAGCATTTTTAGAGACTTTAGTTTTTTGAAAAATCGACCTCCAACCCTTTAAAAACTTTGGGAGAAAGATAACAATTTTCACATGCGTCTTTTTCTCCATTTCAATCGATTTCGATGCCCACATAGAAGCTGCTCAAAGTGCATAGCTAAATAAAGTGTTTCAGTCTATAAAAATGGAGATACGGTCGGTCAAAAATCGTAAATATGAGGCGAATTTCGAAATTAATTGACTGGAAATTTTCAAATCGATTGACCAAAAATGATTTTTGGTGTGTGCATCAAAAACTGCCTGAATAGGTACTGAGGAAGATTCTGAGGGCAAACGTGCAGATTTCTGCCACTAACGCTTCATTAAAAAAACATTTGCGCCTGAGAATATGTGCTGCAAATGCAAGCAAAACGTCGGGTTAGACCACCAATCCTGAATCACTTCCAAGCATTTTGTTAAATGAATGAGAACTTTTCCGTGAAGTACCGTCGCTCTATTAGGAAAATTCGAGGCAGTTGCCTCATCTGAATGACTTGTTTGGGGAAACAGATACACATTTGCGTTCGCCGGCAAAATGAACCGGCCATTAAAATTGAAATAAATGTATATAAAGAGCGATCTGAGCCAAAGATCCTGTCACCTGTCGCGTTTCGTAATCGCCGTAAAATGTTTTGTATTCAAGGTGTTTGGCACAGATTTTCATTTGCATAAATTTGTCGAACAGGCGCAACGTCAAAATATCAAAACCCAGATGGAAACGTCCAGATAAGAAAATCCACTTTTTAAAACCGGCGGCATATGAAAGATGTTATTCAAATTTCGCTCTCAAAGATTTTAGTTAATGAAGATTAACGCGTATCTGGGCTATCTGGAAAGCTTTTCTCCGCGATACCGTTTCGATTCATGTTGCGACATTTCAAAACTGATAGATACCTACATGTCGTATATATTTACACTGGGTTTCACATTTACATTTTCGGTCGCCTTCATGGTATGCTAATTGAAAGACTGGTCTAACAGTTCTGCTCGCAGAGAGCTCAAATCCAAGTGAAAAAACTAACCCGAACAACTTAAATTTTCTGATGAAACTGTCCCATAAATAACTGCAACAGAACCACCACATGACACCCAGTTAAATTAACATTGTCCGTAATATCAGTTTAAACAAATTAATTTACATGTATGTAAAGCCCAGGATGGACGATAA